GAAGGTATAGATTGAAGGCAGGCCTGAGCAGACGTGAATAAGCGCCCACTTCCCAATTGGGTATTCACACGAAGTCGATTAACGGCACGTGATCAGGATACACTTCAATCACCTTCGATCTCCATTGTTTTCCTCTTGCGATCCCATCAACGAACCTAACTGACAATGTCTCTCGGACTGGCAAGTATGAGCTGCAGGCCCACCCCACGTAACTCTGTTGCGATCACAGGCGAACACAGATGGGACTGCCCAGGTCTCGAGGCAGCTGAAGTATCGTCTGAGCCCTTCAAGAGAGCCCCATAAACGGGCAGCTGGGACCCCTCGACCCGACCTTCTCATACGTTGTAACGGGTCTATCACCTAGACTCGAGACAGAGAGAAGGGGGAGGGTGGTAGTGTGCGCAGGTGTGGTTCGTGAGGCCGGGTCTTGGTCCGTGGGCGCTACTGAGTCTACAAAAACCTCAAACAAACACTCACCTACGTCTCTCTTGGACGTCAAGGCTGAGTATTATGATGTGTGGGGTCTTAGACGTGAGCAACTAGGTCAATGGGGGCGTTAGGGTCGTGGATGGCGTCTTTGCCACTTGGATGCAACTTCTGCTTGTCCCTTCACGGGTCTATTCAATACTAACTTGTTATGTACAAGCTGTTATCTAGTTTATATATGTTTGAAATGAAATGAATGGACTGGGGGAATGTAAATGGGCCGTTAGGCAACCGTAAATGATGAATATCCAATTGGGAACAAAGAAACAATAAAAGAAATATGAATGAATGGGGAAAAATGTGACAACGGGTCCGAAATGGGAATTGTGAAAATTAACTCCGCAACAGTGGGCCACAGCGCCCGCCTATCCTCCCGTCAGCAACCTCCTCGTCTCCAGCTTTCCAACGAGCCCTTATTCGTCCCAATTGGTGCAGTGGTTCTTGAGATGTGGAGAGGGGGTGAAATTGGCGGCGTGGTTGGGCGTGGGAATTTTGCTTGGGGTTGTCGGGAATGATGGGGAAAATAGGGAAAAATAAGGAATGAGTTTGTGGAGTGTTGGATAGTAATAGAATGAACATCGGGAGCGTCAGAGGGTATGTGGTATATGTTGGTGGCCAAATTCCGCAGAATCCGACTTTTTGCGGTACACGGAGTTGTCCCCACAACAACGTCGCCTTGCACCACGTAAGACCCGGTGCTCGATCTCTGGATACGCTGGGAGTCTTCAAAGGCTGCCACGCTCAAGGCTGAGACCCTCACGAAATTGCGATTGCCTAACGAATTGAGGGAAGTAATATACAAAGTCGAGTCCAAGTCAGGCGGCGAGCACGAGTTGGACAGTCACATCTTTGCCTTCCAGTTTGCTCCCTGGCAACACCCCTTCACCATAATATCTCGATATACCTACATACTCCAGATCATTTCCCTCCTTACCGCTTTCATCGATTACACCCGGATCTATGAACACCTGATGGAAGTAGAAGTCCAAGAGGGACATAAGATATCCTGGTTGGAACCCCCGAAAGGAATTTTTCTCAAAGAAAGTTTGACTGATGATCGATTGATGGCAAATTCACCTGAGTTCGCTGTATACCTAGCTTGTCAACTGCCATGTCGCGTAATCAAGAATGGATTGTTCGAAGAACTGTACTTGAGCGGACATGCCGAGGCTGCTCATAATTATCGACTCCTGTTGGCTCAAGGGACTGAGGCCTACGAATTCCGACTCGTGTGGCCTGGTCCACCCCCATCCAACAAGGACCTGTCCACCCTCAAGTTGGTGGAGAAATGTCGTCTAAGCCAGACATTCTACTACCCGGATACCGGACGCTTCATGACTCGCACCAAGGCAGAAGAGGTGGTCATAGATGACGCTGAGCAACAACTGGCACAGCCAGATTCACCGACTCCTTTCGACAAGGGCTCAGATGAGCTGACATCAGGAATGTTGGGTTTGAACCTAGGAGATGCTTCCATACCACCTCCATCTCCCAACTGGCCAGGTGCGGGGAGTTCGGTCTTCCTACCCCCTCCGAATGTGGTGGTGCTGCAACCAAGCGTTCATCCTACCAACACCCCATCCGCCCTTTCCACTGACAACTCTTCCGCCTCATCCTCTCCCTCGGGTTCGTTGAACCATAACCGCTGGAGGAAATTGCCTCGAGAAGAGAGAAGGTCCCATCCATATCCCGGTTGAAGAGAAGGATCAATCTTGGGTCATTCGGGACAGGCTCGTTGGCAAATGGGGAACGAAACTCGTCAAACTCGGATGGACTCATATCGCCCCGAACCTAGTCGATCCGACTATGACAGAGATGCGGATAGAAGGTGGTCTTCTTGACCTATGTCTCAGGAATCGATTGCTCAAAGGGACAGCCACCCTAACCTGAGAGACTCAAATCCCGATCCTTCCCCTTCTAGTATGGTGCTGTATAGCGCTGGAGGGCCACAGTCAATTCCGCAGACGCCAACTTTCGCAATGCCGGTCAATCCTACATGGGTGGTGGACAGCAACACCAACACCGCCATGCCCGCCTTCGTCATCAACCTGGCAGCTCCTCCAATGACTGCTCATCCTCCTCCTATGAGCTGGCCCTACCCCCCGCCTGTGCAGTACCTGGGATCAGATCCGCACCCATCCTCCTCCTCCGGTGGAGCTCAGTACGATTCCCTCCATCTGGATTCCTATCATGAGCGCTCAAGAAGCCAGTTGCCCTGGAGAGACAACCCGTGGAGATATGCCCCTCGGGGACCACGTCATGGTCGTTAGGAGACTGGGGGGCGATGTTACGGATACGGAGTCTCCAACGACCATATCCGTCGCATAGTCAAAGACTTCTCCTCTCTATCGCTCCCCCCTCCTTCTCCCTTTCGTCCTCTATCCCGATACCCTACCCTCCTTACTTGTTCTACCCCTTTCCCCCCCTCGTGCAAAGCTTTCCCCATTGGGGTTTTGGTGCTGGCCGAGGTTACTTGTGTTTCACGGGATTTCCTGCGACCTTACCATTTGTAGATAGTCATGCATCTTGTATGGAAACTGCCGAAGGCGGTTCCCGCAAACTAACAACTACTCTATACAACTGTCTTGTGTGTCGTCTTCTGTAACAACCCTTCCTGTGACTCAACTGAACCATGTGACTGTACAACTCACAACATGTCTTATAAGTCTGGTTATGTCGAGTCCTCTAACGGTCCTCACCGTGAGAACTCGAGGTTGTGAGTCGAAGACTCTCGACATGTGTATCATCCTATGGAATCTGTACCCTATGGGACTTCATCATTCCGCTCTCCCCCCAGTGCTCGACAGACGACATCACATCACGATCTTGGAGATCGTGAATACTCTGAGGTCCACTTTCCCATGATGCCGGCATGTTCGCTATGCGAACACCAAGTAGCTGCCTGGCACCGAAGGTTGCCATTGTGGGCCGCTATGAACCCCTCATGCAGCCGAGAGTTATCCCATATATAGATGCCGCTTCTATCTAATCGATAGGAACTTGAGTGCTCTCCAGAAACTGACACAACGTGTGCCAAGCTTGTTTCAGCTTGGTGTGAGGGAGGAAATGTAACAGAGTACCTGAAGAAAACTCTAAATGCTGACCATTGTTGACTGGGGAGTGTTGGATCATTTCTGCTAAACTTGAGTGACCATCTTACTCCTTCCTGGTAGGTTATCAATGCCGCCCTGGGCCTGCGGTATCTTCATGTTAAGGATGTAGTTCATCGGGCAGGGGAAAACATTGTCATTGGCAATGGAAAAGGAATCGCCATGCTATGTATACGGCCCCAGAGGTACTTACTTATAGGGGTGCCACAGTCCAGTTCAGTTCAGTCTTTGGGTGATTTTTCGAGGACCAGAACTGGGACTGTCCCAAATTTCGCTGTCCTGTCAAACCAGGACTGAACCATAGGCAAACCAAACCGAACTGCAGTTACAGCCCTGGGACCGTTCAGTTTGGTCCTGAGACCATCCCGGAAATCTTATTATGAAGAGAGTGTGTATGATAGTATGTATAGTGGGAACTGGTACTATCAACTGAGCATCAAAACTCAAGATCTATTCCTTCTCTCTCCGCACAATCCAAGATAAGATTTGCCTCAATTCCTGCCACTCTTGAACCTTCGCTTCCTCTGAAGCCTTCCTCTCCTTGTCTTGCTTAAGGCGATTCCATTGTATGTTGGCTTTGGCGATCTGGATAGCACCGAGATGCAGAGGGGTGAGACGACTCCGGGTGTCGCTGTCAGTGTGTTTTGCAGCAGAGAATGCCCTTTCACATGGGACAGAAGATGTGGGGACCGAGAGTATGTCTTGGGCAATGGACCTGAGGACTGGATATGCGGAGCCTTCTTTCTGGGAATCAGTATAGGTTAGTTCAGCAATCAACACCATTGGAACTAACAATACTTACCATCCAGCAGTTGAGGATGTCAGTGCCAGGTAATTCAAGCGGATCACTAAGATAGTGTGTGAGCTCTGCACCAGGATCATCGCTAACTATTTCTTGAGCTCGTTGAGCTTGACTGGCTGCAAGATGGCAAGAAAGACCATAGGGTATTTCATCTGTCAAAGGAGTGGTTGCGATAGATACAATGTCGCCTCCAATCATCCTGGTTCCATTTGAGGCAGGGGACCGAGTCATGTAGGTAGAATGATATTCAATAAACTTGTAGTCATCAGTGACAGTGAAGCTCCGAATGTTCGGAGTAACATACAACATTCCGGACACTTTGCATTGCAGTCCATTTGTATTGCGGTGCAAAATAATGGTTGATATAGGAATCTTTTGTCATTGGATCAAGAACTAGATAGAGCATAGGCAATAAGTAGATGTTTTGATTTATGCAAGATGTTTTATACCTGTGCTGAGAATTGTTGGAATATGGGATGGAGTAACCTCCCTGGCATAATGGGCAAGTAGTGTATGGATGCATGCTAGAGGTCCTGGGTTTGATACCAGGCTTGTCCATTTTATGTCATTTGTCCAGTCACCTGGTTTACCTCATTTGGATATCATGGAGTAAGTCCTGTGGGGCAACGTGAAATTTCTTCAAGAATGGCAAGAGGCGACACCTCTGTTTCATCATAATATTTCCTCATAATAGCAATGCCAGCATCAAGTGCATCATAGATGTAGGAATATTTCGGGTTTTTTCGCATCCCCTCCCAAGTTGTAATCAGCCCCTCATAGACTGAGAGTAAGTATGGAGCACTTGAAGCCTTCGAAGTCTGGGAGAATGATTGTTGGGCATGACCTGCAACCTATACACAAGAGTTGCTATGTGTGTTTAGCAGAGAAAAGTGGTGGGAGCACACCTTGAGCGCATCTCTGATTATTTCCATCATATTCCAATCATTATCACTGAACACCCATGCACTGTATTTAGGTGTACAACCCTTTGCCTTTGGTACAGAGTCTTTGTGGTCAGCATGTTCAATGAAATGCATAATAGCCTATCATCAGAAAAGCGAGGTTATGAGAGAATAACTTGATAACTTAAGGTAACGTCACACTGGCCACAATTCAGTAAATTGGTTCAAAAGGATTAACCATGACCCCCAGCATGTGTTCCCATACATCATGAGTTCCAGTGGTTTAATGGATACCTTGGCACAACATTCTCTCAAATAAAGTTTTGTGCCAGGTGACTTTTGGATCTATTGCAATTGTATGTCAGATTGGGATATTGTCACAGTAGAATCATACTCACACAAACAATTAGGGCCCAGAAGCAGGACAACAATGACCTGATCAAAGTGCCCCCATCCATAGGAATCTCAAGTCCACTTGTGGCCAGCTCAATCTCATCGTCATCACCAGTATTGCCACCAAGAGTTTCTACAAAACCATCAGTATTTCCAGTGAGAGCACGAATAAATGCTTGTTGTGCTAAGTTGACAATATGGGCCATGCATCTAGATGATGCACTACTATGTAAGCTGAGAGTTCAGCATGACAAACATGATGAACCTAACACAGTAACAGCTTGCATCCCATCATGTGTTGTGTTCCTCACTAAGAATCTCACTCATGACATGCATTGCTGCATCATTTGTCGATGCATTGTCAGATGTAATGTACCCAATCTATGAGGTAATTACATTGAATGATTAGTATCAAACTTGGATGAGTAGAGAATTAGTTGAACACTTGCCTTCATCGTTGGTTGATCTCTGCCAACAATTTATTTGCAATATTTTCGCCCATGTGAGGTCCATCAAGCTCATGGAAGGACATTAGCTCAGAGTGGACATTCCATTCACTGTCCAAGAAGTACCAAGAAAACCCCTCATAGTTGCAGAGGTCCATGCATCAAAGGTGAAGTGAACAAGGCCAGGTGCTTCCTATAATCATATAGTAAATATCTATGAGTGACTCCCATGCGGTGATGAGATACCTGAAGTTTACTCTTCAAGTTTTTTGTGACAGTTTCTGCATGTGCAAGAACAAGTTGTGTCATTTTTGTTCTGTGAGGAAGGTCCTTGTCCTTGTAGCATGTAGTGCTGAGGCCCCCATGTGCCTGGAACTTCATTAGCCCGCAAAATGATGCTGAGTCAACCAAATCAAAGCCCTGTATGTAGTTGATGTCAGTTTCCATATAGCCAAAAGGCACACTTGCCAGATCATGCTTGATGATTAGGTCCTCGACCCAATGCAGCAGGCCTTCCACAGACCATGGTTCCTCATCATCAGCTGGGCGATAGAAATGTGTGATTCCTTGTTGGCTTTTCCTGTGATACATGAGGGATTAGTGCCAAAGTGAATTGGAATTCAAACACTCACTCACTTGCAATGAGAGCTTGCTTTTGCTCCAATCTTACAGCATTGGGAATTGCTCTATCATCAGGTGGGATCCCATTGCACTGCTTCAGATAGAGCTCCCAGTGTGTGAGGTCTGTGGGGCTCGCTCAGGTCACCAGGCCATAAGTGTCACAAAGGTGTGGGTATTATGGGGTGATAAGCGATAGGTTCCAACCCATCACCTGTCACATGACACTAATCTACAATGGGACTACATGTAATGGGGAGGGCTTGTGCCCTGACACAGTGCTCTCCCCCACTATGGGAAATGTGCCTGTGAAGTGTGCTGGAGCCAGAACTGGCAGAAAAGTGTGGCATCAACTGTTTTGATCATCTCCCTTTTTCATAAGTGTAAGTGATCATTTATTAGTGGATTGATAGATATTGAGACTTACTGGCATACTCAACATACCTGATAGCTCTCTTGCCCATTGTCAAAAACCTGGATTGTAGGGGAAAATGCGTGAGTCCGAATGCAGGCAGGGCTCAACTAGAGGGGGATCCAAGAGCTCTGGTAGTGGACCGAAGCTTCTCCAGGAAGCCCGGTTCTGCTGGATGGTACAAGAGGCTCTAAGAGGGATGTGGCCTCAGCGACTCAGAGGGAGCGCTGTGCCTCCATTATGTCTCAGTTGGTCCTTGTATTTCTTATGTCTGAGGTATCTTGTAGAAAGGGAATGGGATTCACTCAGAGGGACTTTGGGTAGCATTTTAGTCGAGATTAGAACTGAGGAACTACAGGTTCTACTCTACAGGTATTTATAAGGGGGAATGGAAAGGACTTAGTCAAAGTCTGAATGATAATAGAAGAACACCAAAAGGTGCCGAATGATACCGAGAGGTACTGAAAAGTCCTGAATGATATCTTTAATGGGGAACTGAGGTGTTGGATCGAGGAGGGCAGAGTAAGAGGCTGGAAAATGAATGGGAACGAGAAATGGGTAAGGGGGGTTAGCCGACTGAATGGGAAGAAGAAGAAGATAGTCGTACTAAGAATGGAAGGTGACTAATAAGTGATGACATGAGTGAGGTCACTGAAGGATGTGGGTAGCTCCAAAAGCGGAGTTGCATATCTGAAGGATGTTGGGTGACTCCAATAAATGAAATGGGTGGAGAAATGGTTTGAGGGTATGTCATGGGATATCGGAGGTCTGTTGGGATATCGGAGAAAATCCGGAGTCTCTGAATGTTCCGACTCGGGACCGAGCTTCCGGGATGGGAGTGGCCAAGGTTTGGTGTGCCACAACCAGACCGGAGCTGAGACAGTCAGGAAGGAAGGTGACTTGGGGAGTGGGGAGGCATGGTGTAGGGGATGTGTCAGGGCACACCTGCCTGACCCTGTGCTGCACCCTGCGCTGTACTGCCCTACTCCACTTTCCCCACTATCACCCCCCATCCCTCCTTTCTCACTTTCCCCTTTTCTCTCTATTTCTATTCTACAGTCGATTTCCCTTTTCTCCATGTACCACTATGTACCTAACCCCACTCCCCTGATTGCTGCACGTGCCGCGCACACACTCCTGCCTACTGAGCGGCCACCTCCGGGATCTCCCACGGAGACACCCGGGGAGGTGCGGCTGTGTGTGGAGATGACGTGGCTTCTCCCACGTGACCCTGACCGCATGTATATAATAGCGCCTGGGGTGGGAACAGAAGAAGCAGCCTTCTTCTCAACTTCCCACTTCAGCCTAAGTGGTTGGGGACGCTCACCCCACGATGGGATGGCTGCTACGCATAGCCGACACCTGTCCCATCAAGTCCCTCGCACCGGGACCTCACCGCTTTCAGAGCTGTCCCTGACTGGATGGTGAAGTTGTTAGGAAGGTGTGGTGTGGTGGGAGTGTGCGGGGTCCTCAGTAAACACAGTTTCGAGGTCTTGCAGCTGCCATGCTTTCCAAGATAACTTAATGGCTTCAGCAGCACATGCATCTCTGTGGGCAAACTCTTCTGGATCTTCATTGGCCCCAGGCGCAATCTCGTCATCACTGTCCTGATCCACCTCATTTTCAAACCCAGACATGGGTGCCGGAATCTTTGCTGCATCGTCAGTTCAAGCTCATTTTTTCCTCCCCTGGCCATGCTTGTTGTGCTTCTTCAAAATGACTTGTTCTTTGGCTACTTCTCCATCTGATACTGAGGATTCCCTGGACGTTTCAGTAGGAAGAAGCTTCGTTGCCCTTTTATTTTTGTTCCTTGCGGTGAGTTTTTGCCGTTCCAATGCCTCAATTGGATTTTCGCACATGATTTGCTTCAAAATCCACTTGGGCCTAGGAGTGCAATGAATAGTTGGCAAATCATCATTTGGGTTGTAGCCTTCAGAATTGGGGGGGAAATGGGGTCAGATGTCCGAAGGGCTATAAACAAATTGATCTGGTTTATCAGCAGCATCACGCAAATTACCATCTGGACCCAGCATTGGGTTTTCAGTGTCCATGTGCCACCCACTTTCACCACCAGAGAGTGTCTCCATTAGTAGGATTTAACAAGTTGTGACGGCAAAGTTGTATAGCGATTTCTCAGCCAACCCCGAATGTAAACTCAACACTGTAAAATTGCAAATGAAATATTTTATTAATGCTTCTGCAGCTTACATGTACATGATATAAGATTGAAATCTTCAGCGGTCCTGCAGTCCAGTTCGGTTTGGGACCGGTTCGGATTTTCCTCTCAACCTAGAGGACCAGAACTGAACTGCCACAGGACTAAGCCCGAACCGAACCGTGGTTTGGTGCTTGGTCCGGGACCGGTTTGAACCGGTCCTTTATGAACTTCGGCACCCTACTTACTTATGAGGTGCAATACCGTGATCGCAAAAGCGATATTTGGGCATTTGGTTGTGCATCTGGACAGGTTCGAGTGCTCAACATTACTATGCAATGACTCACTACTGACCTCAGGGGGGTGCCTCTTGTTGCTTTCAGATACTTTTTGATCAAAAACCGTATCATGGATCAGAAACTCACCCTGCGATTCTGCACGCAATAATGAATGGGCGTGCCCGTTTGAATGGAACGATCCTGACGACTTTCTCGCCAATATCAATAGTTGCCTCGAACGAAATCGCAGTGAACATCCAACCATTGAAGAACTGGTCCTGCGATTAATATGGGTACCCACCGCTGAATGATACCCTATTGGAAACATTGTGGATCACCATTGGATCTTCATTTTAATATTGCTATGTAACTTCTGTATATGTGTATGAAACATTGTACTAGGCCGGTTTGTGTAGCTTCATTCTGTTCAAACTAACCGTGGCACCTAAGGCTCTACTGGGTAGCGCAAAACTCCCATTGACGTCAGCCCTTGAGTGAACAACTTCACAGGTACTGTTTCTCTGGGTGCCGCTATAAGTATGTCGTATATGTGTTAAAGGACACCCACCCATGAAATGCGACAACGTTTGGATGTTGTAACGTTGTCCAGACTTTCACTTCACGCTTCATCCTCTGGGGGATTAAATAATAAGCTCTCCTTGTGGTAGGAAGAGCGAAAATGAAAGGACAGAACCCGACAGAATTTTGGTACAACTTCCTCGTTCGCAGAAGTGCGGACTTCCTTCAAGACCTTGACACACACAGTTTCCTGGTGATAAAATGCACCGCAATCAGTTTACGAATCCAAGGGAAAATGGTTGCCCCATTGTAAACACCTTGGTAAACCTCCCCAAAGCTGCCTTGGCCTTGTAAAACGTCACGTTGACTTATTTGTCTGGTGAGATTACGGCTGTCAACTCCCAAAAGTTCTGAAAGAAGTTGTGGTAACCAGGGAGGGTGCTGTGGTAATGGGGCAAAAACGTATGTTGCCAAAGTGTTAGGACGAATTTGAGACCGAGATTGGGAAGGATATGACGCTGAGTTTTGTTCTTGCGAGATCTTACCCCCGTTGATTGATTGCTGATCAGTGGAGTTCTTGACTCAAACAATAAGGTACTAGAGTCATGGAGCATTTGAAAATTTTCACACATCATACCTTGAAATTTTCAATCTCCAAAGTTTCAGGTCCGGAACCAAGATCCTGGAAAACAACTGGCCCAGAACCCGACGGAGGCTCTACCCGGGGTCCTTGAGGAGCGTTAGTTTGATTGGCATGCGCAAGAAGATGTGTGCCAGACTGAAATGCATTGATCAGCGAGGTAGGGGTAAGAAACGGCTTCGGCACACTCAATTAGCCTCCCGGCCCTTTCCACTATGCAGGAGATGCCAGTCATACACGCCATCCTCGACTGCACCGATATGCTTGAGACTCTTCATGAAAAGTAGGCGCAGGAAATCGTAATCAGGAGTTTCATCAAATTCTAGTTTTTGCACATAGTGCAGGTAAACAGCAAACTTGTTTGCATTTGATGGTTAGACAGGGACACCAATAGACTCCATGCTACCTGGGAACCCCTCGCAAAGTGCATTGATGGGAGTTCATTGCTTCTTTTCTCGCATCTTTGCCTTTCGTTTGCTGCTTTCCCAATTTTGGAACTCTTTTACGCATCTGAGATCTTGCGTGCCATAGCCTTTATCTTTAAAAGGAATTGCATTATCCAACATATCTTTCATTTCATCCATGCATTCGGGACATCGACAATTTCTCATATGAGTACTAGAAATGGGCTGAGAAAAAGACTGTGAAGGTAGGACGTGTAGCATGTATGTCTCCTCAAATCACTACCAAAATTTTGCCAACAACCTTGTGGTCTCTATGAAGCTCGGTGGCTGGCCCACAACTACTGCTTCAGCATGCCACCGTGTTCCCTCCTTTCCCTCGGCAGGAGACATCCAACCATATTGATATAAAGCGCAGGCTAACATGGATGCAACGGATGCAGCTGCTGGCGCAGTGCCACTCCTTGTCCTTGTTGCCTCCAAGCCTGGGCCATTCCAAGCACTTTCAATGTTCAGACCCAGGGCGAAAACACTGATGACCTTTCCATAGTTGGAGTGGGTGATTACGTACTGGTTTGTTGCTGTGCAGTAGACAGCCCCAACGGTGATAACTCCATCCGCAGACGCAGGACCGAACTCTCCCGCATCCCGGTAGTCATTCCCTGCAGAAGCTACAACGTGCAACCCAGAATTGATGACTTTGTGGACGGCTTCATTAATGGCAACACGGTCACGAAGTGAGCAGGTTATCAGAATGATGGTAGAACCCCTCTGTTCCGGAGGGGGCTTAGTACTATCGGCGTAAACCCACTCAATGCCGGCGATTAGGTTGGAGGAAAGTACAGTAGTGCTCTCAGCGATCTTCACAACTTTAAGGTAGGCGAAAGTCGCCAAGCTAAAACCCTGTCCCACTGCCTTCGCCGCGACATATGTGCCATGGCCTGAAGTGTCCACCCGGTCAGTACCAGTTACGGTCTGCACATACAAGCAGGTATGAGTGAACGTATACGGTGGAGAGTGCGTAAAGAGATACTACGCACATGACCCCACCCATGCAGTTCTTCATCAAAGCATGCGTGCTCTAGCAAAGCTCCAGTTTCCAGTGAATAAATAGTCACTCTACGCCCATCGGCGCGTGCTTTGAGTTCAACCGGATCATGCTCCATTTCAATCCCATCATTGTCACGCTCTGTTGCATCCCTCTCATGGAGGTCATAGTCAATGGAAGTTGTGCCATCAGCTTCGACATAGTTAACTTCGGGGCAAGTGAGGATGCGAACAAGGGATGTTCCAGTTGCGTGTGCAGAGTAGCCATTCAGCACTACGAAAGTCAGCATATTGTGGGGGAAAATTCTCTGATATCAACTTACTCTCATACCGGTGAGTAATTGAAAATTCTGACCCAGGGCTCCGGGCGGATATCCGAGTAATACTCTCGATATGGTCCTCCATATTTGTAGCGGATTTCAGCATACTAAGTAGTGAGTCAGCCAGTGTTATGCCATGCTTGTGTGTGGGACATACACGATGTACGAGTCGGGCTTTACTGGACCCTCCGGCATCCTGATACGAACAGAGGCAGCGAGAGCCATTGTCGTAGTGGAAGTGAATATAACCGCAGTTGAGAACTTCATTGCTGTAGCCAATGAGTGGGTTGAGAAGAATAGGGGAATAAGAACCGACAGCAAGCTGGAAGGATGTCCAAAGAGCCATACAAATAGTTTCTCAGCTCAATATACAACCAGATGGCTAACAGGCTGGTTCTGAGAAGACTGGTGCGGGTGTGAGGAATATTGATATTGCGATCAGAAGATAATAAAGACGAAATCGGAACGTGGGACAACCTTTACTTCAGCTCCTTCTCGCCTATACCATGCAATCATGGCAGATATTATTTCTCACTGCGTCATTTTTCTTGCTGTACAGATTGATCAGGGACAATACGTCATGAAAACCGGCAGCATGCTTGGATCAGCTCTTGAGCAGTGCTCCACTATTGCCAGTTCTCCATAACCCAGGGTCCTCCATCAGTGACTAATATTCCCACCTATACCCGAGCAGTACTGTTATCTTGCTTCCTCTGGCATCCCCCTGCTTTCTTTCTACTATCAATCATTACCATTCCTCACATGCACAATGGATTAGGAGAAAGGTCCATACCTGTCAGGGATGCATCCGGGGTGGAGGGGGCCTGGATGTAACACCCAGCAGAAGGACCCTCTCGGGGAGTGAAGCAGGTGTGCATGCTGATGGGCCCGATGTGGGACTGCAGTCCCAGGCCACTTAGACTGAAGTGGAAAATGTGAGAGGAAGGTTACTTCAGTTCCCACTTCAGGTACATTTATGTACATGTGGCTTGGGTCACATGACAGGTGCCATGTCATCCTCGGAGAGAGCCACAGCCGTCCAGGTGTCCCTGTGGGGGATCCCGAGAGCATCTGCTGCAGGCGTGTGTGCTAGGCATAGTGGGAAGCCATCCAGGGTGTCTGAGCTGGACAGGTTAGCAGTACAATGATACAAAGGAAAGTGGTCCATGTAAATAGAAAGAATAAACAGAAAGGGAGAATGAAACAGAAGAGAAAGAGGAAAGAGAGAAAAGGGAAGAAAGAGAAGGAGAAGAGGGAGGAAGGAGGGGGGAGAAGGATGGGTAACGGGGGAGCAGGTGAGGTGGGCCTGGGTGGGCCCGGGTGGAGCCGGGTCAGGTGGGTGTGCCCTGACAATACCTTGCACACAGACACATGATCAACATGATCGTCTGTCTTGGTTACTCTTTTCCAGCCACATCGCAGAAGGCTTAAAAGCCTTAACTTTTCACCCTTATCTCTCTCCCTCAGTTCACTTGTTCAGAACTGAGGTGAGCTTTCTTGTCTCCACTGTCTTAGTCAATGACTAAAACCCTTGTAAATATCCTAGTGCTTACAATGTGCTAGGTAGATAAGCAATTCATTCAGTTTGCTTGTTTAGTACTGAGCACTTACAACATGCTAGATTCTCACATGGCATCAGCAAAATATTGTTATGCTCCTGAGTGCTCTGGAGTATGGAGAGAACTGGGAGAATGTCAGGGCACACCTGCCTGACCCGGTATCCCACTCACCTCCACCCCACCCTTCATCACCTTCCCTCAACTCCTGTTCTTCTTTCTATCCCTTTGTCCTTTTATTCTTTCGTTCTTTCTTCTATCTTTATCTACATGGACGACCTTTCCTCATACCTATGTATTATTGACCCACCTGCGACGTGTGCGTGACACACCCAGCCCTGGATGACCCGGATGGCCTCATGGTGCAACCCAGCACATGCACGTGCAGACATGCCCTCAGGATCCCCCACAGGGACACCCAGATGACTGCGGCTGTATGCGGGGTGATTGTCAGGGCACACCCGCCTGACCCGGTTCCACCCGGGCCCACCCGGGCCCACCTCACCTGCTCACCCACTCACCCGCTCACCCACTCACCCGCTCACCCACTCACCCGCTCACCCACTCACCCGCTCACCCACTCACCCGCTCACCCACTCACCCGCTCACCCACTCACCCGCTCACCCACTCACCCGCTCACCCACTCACCTGCTCCCTGCTACCCATCCTTCCTCCTCCCCCTTCCTCCCTTTTCCCTCTTTTCTCTTTCTCCTTTATTTCATTCTCCCTTTCTGTTTATTCTTTCTATTTACATGGACCACCTTCCCTTGTATCTTTATACTGTTGACCTGTCCGGCTCGGACACCCCAGATGACTTCCCACCACGCCCTGCATGCACACCTGCAGCGGATGCCCTCAGGATCCCCCGTGGGGATACCCGGATGGCTGTGGCTCTCTCCGTAGATGACGTGGCACTCGTCATGTGACCCAAGCTGCATGTACATAAATGTACCTGAAGTGGGAACTGAAGAAGTAACCTTCTTCTCACGTTTTCCACTTCAGTCTAAGTGGCCAGGGACTACAGTCCTAGATTGGGCCCGTCAGTACACACACCCACTTCGTCCCCCGAGAGGGTCCCTCTGCCGGGCACTACAGCTGGGCCCCCTCCACCCCGGATGCGTCCCTGACAGCAGAAGAAGGTTTCAACCTCGTCTCCCCCACCTCCCCTATCTCCCCTGCCTCCCCAGCCATGGTGTCAGAAGAGCAGTATGAGGAGCTGCTAGCTCGCTTCCAAGAGCTCCAAGCCATTGTGGAGAGCCAGGCCCGCAACCACCCCCCACCCCCACCTGCTCCAGCACCCGCTCCCACGCCAGCCCCTGCACCCGCTCCCGCGCCCAGACCCAAACCACCCAAGGTTGCCCCCCCCCACTCCCTTCTCAGGAGCCAGCGAGGACCTCAACCGCTTCAAGGCCGAGTGTGGGATTTACTTCCATGTTTGCGCAGCTGAATTCCCCACCGCCCTCTCCCAAATTCTTTTCGTGCTGTCCTACATGAAAGGAGGACCCGCAGGGGCATGGGCAATGCAACGCACAATCACGTTGCTGACAGCCGGATCCCCCTCCCTCACCATGGACGAGTTCAACACTGAACTCGATGCCATGTTCCAGGACCCAAACTGGGAGGCCACGGCCAGACAGAAGCTGGCAGCCATCCGACAGGGAAGCGACTCTGTGGACAAGGTTATCCAAGAGTTCGAGATACTGGGACCCGCTGGGCGATGTGGGACTGGTTGACTGTTTCAAGCAGGCCATCAACTCCCGCCTCCGGGAGAGCATATACCGGCTCTGCCCCATGCCCACTACTTGGGCAGAGTGGAAACGCAAGGCCACCCTCCTAGACAACCAGTGGTGACGCTTCCAAGCCACCCAACCACGTGCGTTTCCACCCAAACCCCTGCTCCTGTCAACCCAACCCCTGTCGACCGCGACCCCACCTCACGTACGACCCACACCCATGCCCCCTCGACCCACACCCGCTCCTCCACCCCCTACCCCAGCAGCCCGCCCCACAATGGGAGTGGGCCCACAGCCAATGGATCTCGACTGCTCAAGAACTGACCAGAGGCGGTGTTACAACTGTAACACCCTGGGGCACATCCAATGAGACTGCCCACACCCCAAGGTCCACCGGGCGCAACGCCTCCACCCTGAAGACCTTCGGGTGCTGATGGAAGGGCTGAAAAGGCAGTTGACCGAAGGACCAGAGGCAGAGGAAGCAGAGGCGGAAACAGAGACTCAGGGGGATTTTCAGGAAGGTGAGGGATGCATCCTGGCCGCCTGTAGAAGATAGCTCATGTAAATACCGCAGCATGCGTAAGTCAGCGCCAATGCCAAAACTCCACCAAGTTATCGCAAAGAAAAAGAGGAAAACCGCATCCTCAACCCATGAGAGTAGAAGGACCGCAGAGGGAATGCCCGAAGTGGCAGTATCCCTGCCCGCTATCTATGTTCTTTCCAAGCAATCCCCCCAGTCCCTTAACCTCACGGTCAAACTGACCACCCTAACCTCACTTGCATCAGTGTCTGTATCGGCCCTCCTGGACTCAGGAGCCACCGGGAACTTCGTGAGCCCCGAATTCATCCGGAAGCACAAGCTTGAGACAACCCCACTCCCGCAACCTATCCCCGTCCGTAACGTCAACGGGACCCCGAATGAGAACAGAGCCATAACTGAGGAGCTGGAAGCCCTCCTGACATTCGGGTGGCACACAGAGCGGGCCCGCTTCGCGGTCGCAAACCTCGGGCAGCAATCCCTCATCATTGGTCACTCATGGCTGCTACACCACAACCCAGAGGTAGATTGGGCATGGCAGAAGGTCGTCATGTCTCGCTGCCTGTCCTCCTGCAGACAGCCACAAGCACGAGAGGACCAAGACCCTGCCCTAGAGCCTGGGGACGGGATCTATGCTGCAATCATTCCCCCAGGCTGGGGACACAACCTAAGAGCCACCACAACCCCCTCTCAGTGGATGGCCCAGGAGGCCCGCAACCCGGGTGCAGAACCCGCATCGTTTGAGACGCTAGTGCCAGAGCACTACCAGGACTTCCGGGACGTATTCTTGAAGGAAGCTTTCGACCAGCTTCCCCCCCGGAAGCCCTGGGACCACGCTATAGACCTGGTACCAGACGCCAAGCTGCCCAGGGGAAAGACCTTCCCCCTCTTGCAGCTGGAACAGAAAGAGCTGGATGAGTTCCTGTGTGAGAACTTGCAGAATGGGCACATACGACTGTCCAAGTCCCCAATGGGGGCACCAGTCTTCTTTGTCAAAAAGAAAGACGGGTCACTATGCCTAGTACAGGACTACCGGAAGCTGAACGAGATTACCGTAAAGAACTCGTACCCACTCCCGCTGATCTCAGACATCCTTGCCTGCCTCCGGAGCGCCAAGTACTTCTCCGCCCTGGACCTACGCTGGGGGTTCAACAACATCCGGATCAAGGATGGGGACGAGTGGAAGGCAGCGCTGAAGGAGAGAACAAAGGAAAGTCAGTTGGGAGGTTCAAACGAGACCACCACCAAGCTGTTCCCTGGTTCTTTAGTTAGGATGGGGAAGTGTACTAGTGTTATTTATTGTAAATATAATACCAATCCGAGTGTTTTGGCTAATTCTATTTTTATGGGTTAGTTTTAAAGTTCCTGGGAATTGACTTACAGATAAACCGAGCCCTGCGGAGCTGTTTCTTTATTGAAATTTATTAATTTGTCTAGGTGTAATTCTGTGTAGCGTTGTTTAATTTGGATTTAAACTTGAATTTAATCTTCTACTTGGTGAAGTTTCAAAGATTCTATTCAGTTAATGAATTTGGATGGTGTCTGGAGTGTCCCTTGAGTTCGTTTTATTTTTGTCTTA